TGTAAATAAAATGTAAAATAAATGTACTTTTATAACTTGGAAAAACAGAAACAAATCAAAACAAAAAAATTCCGCTCATGAGAGGAACTGAACCGTTCCCTTTGACCTTCACATAATCTTCCATAAAAATGATTTAGATCCTTTTTGTTATAAAGCAAAAGGGTAAGGCCATCTGTAGATCCTCATTTAATTGGCAGCATGTTTCAAGCGGGTATTTTGAAACATGAAAACATTTGGCCTGTACAGCAAGAATTCAAGTTACTCAATTTCATTTTATATCAAATAAAGAAGTGGCTCTTTACAAAAATAATAAATAGCCATAGCTGGTTTGGCTTAGTGGATAGAGTGTCGCCCTGTGGACTGAAGGGTCCCTGGTTAAATTCCGGTCAAGGGCACGTACCTTGGTTGCAGGCTTCTCCTCAGCCCAGGCCCTGAAGGCTACCAATCGATGTGTTTCTCACACACTGATATTTCTCTCTTTCGCTCTCTCTAAAAATCAATGGAAAAATATCCTCAGGTGAGGATTAAAGATAGATTGATAGATAGATAGAACCTCCTTCTGAGCGATCCTTATCATAAACCAGGGAACCGTGGACAGATGAATTTTTTGAGAATTTAATTTTACATCATGCTTCAAGATATTTGAACCAAGTTACAACTTGGAAATAATACCTTTCCAAGGCCCAGGAAACCCCAGGTCAGAAGCTAAAGGGACATGACTTTCAGTAAGTCATGCTGGATAAGGTGTTCCTGTGTCCCACCTCCCCCATGACCAATTCACCACAGGGTCTTTCCCTTTTCTCTTCCTGTGAAAAATAAGGGCCAATTTTATAGAAGTTAAGATCTAAGTAGCCTTCTATTGTGACAGAACCTGACTTTTAACAGAATCATGGAAGTGGGTAGAAGAGAGTTTTCTTCCTCTCAAAGTTCTCAAGGACAGAAGAGAGGAAATAAGCAGAAATAACTATTAATAAATGTTCCATCACTTGCTAGCCATGTGACTTTGGAGAAGTCATTCTGCCTCGACTTAATTTGTTGTTTTTGTTAATTCTCACCAGAGGATATTTTCTATTTATTTATTTATATTTATTTATAGTTCTTTATTTTTTATGAGAGTGCAAGGGAGAAGAGACACAGAGAGAAACATCAAGGTGAGAGAGAGACATTGATTGCCTCCAGCACACACCTCCACCAGGGTCAGGGATTGAGCCTGCAACTGAGGTATGTGCCCTTGACCAGAATCAAACCTGGGACCCTTTAATCCAGTGATGGCGAACCTATGACACTTGTGTCAGAGGTGACACACAAACTCATTTTTTGGTTGATTTTTCTTTGTTAAATGGCATTTAAATATATAAAATAAATATCAAAAATATAAGTCTTTGTTTTACTATTGTTGCAAATATCAAAAAATTTCTATATGTGACACGGCACCAGAGTTAAGTTAGGGTTTTTCAAAATGCTGACACGCTGAGCTCAAAAGGTTCGCCATCACTGCTTTAGTCCATGGTCCGATGTTCTACCCGCTGAGCCAAACCAGTTAGGGCCTCTGCCTCTGATTAAGATCTCAGCCTCTTAAGTTGTAAAAGCAAGGTAATATAATTATTTTGAAGATTAAACAAGATAATATGTAAGTGTAAGGAACATGCAATCTGGTATTCTGCAATTATATCTGTTCAGATACCATTCTTAACAAATAAGGCTAATAACAATTAAAGGAGGTTTAAAAGTTTATTTTATAAATGTCATAATTATATGATATAAACAGAAGTTTCACAAAATATTACTATATATAGCAATAAAGCATAAGCTATTACAGAAAAATTGATACAAAGATGTACATAAATACTTATGAAGGTAACTATTAAGCCTTCCTATGAAAATAAAAAGGAAGGACACAATGTCATTGCCTCTGGAGATCGGGGACCTAGAGGATAAGGCTATCCACCTCCTGTCCAGAGAGCTGGTCATAAGTGCTTCGACCGTTGCCGTAATGCGCCCAAGCATGATTGTTCCCATGACTACAGGAGGAAGCATTGCTGTGGGCACAGGGTTCCCTTTTGCTGTTTTCCCGCAGTTATATGAGATAGGTGGAAGATCCTTCAATGCTTATATACATGAAGACAGAGGAGTTTCCAACACCCGCGGAAATTCACAACCTTGGGCTCCATCAGGAGCTAAGCCTACAACGGAAATTGTGAATTGCATCATCAAATGCGCACTGGGTATCAAGTACCACATGATTTGCAAACCTCAACAAAACCCCATGGCTCAAATTGGAAGAAGATTCAGTGCATTATACTCTATAGTCAAGCCTGGGGTCCAACCACCAGTGGTTGATATAGATCCTACGTTTGATTTAAAAGCAGCAGTATCCTGGCTGTCCTCCAAAGGACTTGACACCATCATCCTTGGCTCGTTACTGAATATGGAGAACCATAGTACAGTAGGACCTACCGGGAAGGCATTCATTGCACAGATCAACCTCATTTCATCCTATGCAGAAATGACGCCCTTACTATGAAGGCATTTGTGAATGAAGGCTTGTCAAGAGCATCCATGCTTCCAGGTGTTGGCAGCGAGATCAAAGCCTTTATGGATGCAGAGAAGGCCTTGCGAGAGCAACATGGGGATACAATGTTCCCCTACCATAAAGCTCTTTGGCTCCCTGGCCACAAAAGGCTTGCACCGGTCAATTTCCCTAATCTTTGCAAGGTCGAGAACACGAGAAAAAGAAGAATCGACAGGACATTCCATGATTACAAATCTACTAAAGAATCATTGTTATCACTGACTGATCGAGAAGCTGAGGATGCTGTTGCACAACCTCCCATGAAAAAGAAGATGGTAAGTTCTGCAGACGCTGACAGGTTGAAGTCTGTCTTCAGAGCCACAGATCAAGAAATCAACAAAGCAACCAATAGTGTTCAAGGCAACGTGCCAGTGAGCCTAGAAGCCGCATTGCTCACGTTAACTGAAGCTCTCAGACGCAATTAAGGACTAGGCCATAAACCAGTAACCAATAAAAAACATGACACGATGTCGCTGAGAGTCCTCATCAGGGCACTCGAAATAATTGCTGACAGACTGCTAGACAGTGATCAGGACAATGTCCAGCTCAGCTCTGAGGACGAGAGCAGGAGCGAAGCAGAGGAGGAGGAGATCTTTACAAGAGAAAACACAGAGAGGATGGAAGCCAGAAAAGAGGCCAAAGAAGGCACATCCATCTCGAAAGGAGATAATCTCGGAGTCAGAGACAATGGAGATAATGGAATTAGCAGCCACAAGCGAGTCTGTAACACTGGACCAGATGACAATGGAACAAACTGTCAGCCAAGTTCAAGGGATGTTGTCAATGGCTCAAACGCAGTCGGCAGAATCAGGGTGTAGCATCCGGAGCGCACTGCTCCAACTGGTGGAGGTGCTGAAGAGACCTTCTGAATCACCTGGACCACAACTTAAAGCTCTCGAGGAAAAGATAGACAATGTTTTCAAAGAATTAAAGGATGTACATGAAGAAATCAGTGATATTAAAAGACAAACAGGCTAAGCTTATCTTCTCACGTCGTTATGTGTGCACCACAATATGACTTATTCATTATGGAACCGAAATACCCGAGGTTAATGAGTTACTTATTCACTAAGAGCAATGCGGCATATGGCTTATCCATGTTGGATAAATCCCAAAAATCAAGCACAGTAATCGGAATCAGTCAAAGCATGTCAATGAGATCCATTACGGAAGCAAAAGATTTAAAGATCAGCTCATATGCAGTATCTTAGCTCCTAATACAAGAGGATTAAACATCATTGATTATTTAAATCAGTTTTTTTTTTCCAATTCATGTTGTTGAGTGAAAAAGGTGGCCACTCACCTGATCTTCCTGTAATAATGGGTGGCATCCTTACTCACAGGCTCCCAGGCCTCTGATGATCAAGCTGGACTTGCTGGTAGCTTGAATGTTCTATCTACACATGTAGGTTTTACCACAAACTACATGACTGACTTTGCCAAATCACAAAAAGATTATACCATCCATTTCAGGGCACTTTCCTACATGGACTTGTTACCTTCCCAATTACACTTCGGAATCCTTGCAAATAAAACTTACCTTACACTTTCGTGCTCAGGTTGCACAAGAGAAATTCAAGAAGACTTCTTTTCCTTGTCAAGACCTCTCATGTATAAGGGGATTCCAATAGATCACTTTTCAGCACAGTGGTTCTCAACCTTCTGGCCCTTTAAATACAGTTCCTCATGTTGTGACCCCCAACCATAAAATTATTTTTGTTGCTACTTCATAACTAATTTTGCTGTTACGAGTCGTAATGTAGATATCTGATATGCAGGATGGTCTTAGGCGACCCCTGTGAAAGGGTCGTTTGACCACCAAAGGGGTCGTGACCCACAGGTTGAGAACCGCTGCACTAGCTGGTATGGAGACCCAGCTGTTGCAGCAGGCTTTAAGCTAGGAGTAGAAATTTTTATGTCACTATACCAGGAATCCCGTGAGTTAGATTCATTACTTGACTCGGGCCAATAACCATGTCATTTAGAGAGATTTTCGCTGAGCCATTTAGCACCTCTACCAGGATACCTAATAATGGTATCTTTCTGGTATGCAGGCAGCCTACAAAGGAGTTTGGTTAGACCGGTGTCATCCTACTTAAAGGCAGTTGCATACATACCAACATCCTCTCCTACACTTCGATGAACATGCGATGTCATGTTCTCGTTGTCAGACGGGAATCAAATATTTGACCCTGCATCAAAAATTGGAATTTTAAGCAAGTTGTTGCCTGCAGGGACATCATTACAAAATTATCTCATTGCAAAGTGATTGCTTGCTGGATCAACATTCCAGTCCCAGAAGTAATGAAGATTATGAGGAGAATGAAGCTCAACAAGATCAAGTGTGAAGTTTCTTCATCACCAGATATTGACTCCCTTATCAGGATGCTTAAGCCGCTTGTTAAGGCAGGAAAATGGAGAAGTGATGTTAAAGAGATGGTGTCTTTTATTAGAGGAGCAAGTTGCCAAATGCACTCAACTATGCATTTAATTCCCTTATCTCAGTTTTGGCATCTTTTCCATTTGCTTAAGGGTTTAGTTGCTTACCAAAGGGTTGAACTTATTGTTGTCTCCAAAGATACTCCTGTTGAAGTAGTTGTTGATGTTTGCCATGTTACAAAAGTTGTGGTACACACTATGGGTGATCCTACTGTTACTGAACAAGCAGAATGTGCAGACTTGTGTGGAGCAGTTTCTGCAAACCTCCTGACACAATTATCACTTGCCACACTTCAATCTGCAAGATTCTATGATGATCATGCAGGAGTAATTGCTGGCGCAATTCACTACAAGCCACTCGATGATGTATTTTCAGTTCAGGGGCCTTGTGGAGGGTTTCACACCATGTGTTTGATGGAAAATGATATTCCTATTGATCTAGGGGAGACCTGTTGCAAATCTTATAGATCGTCTGATCTCTGTCCGGCTGTATGCCCGGTGTCAGAATCTCTATTTAAACTTGTGGTTGTTAAGTGCACTGGGTTGCTTAGAAGCTATAGAGGAGTTTCCTCTACATTCAGGACAATCCAGGAGAGGAGAAACAGAATGGTCCAGGGAAGTCAATGAGGATGGAGGGCTAATGGTTCTGGTTCGACACCTCCACCAGTATCTTCAATTAATTCTTCGGGCATTAAACATTGTATGTAAACCACAGTGGATTTATTATTTACAAGATGTAGATGATGGATTGAATATTTCAATGTCTGGACCTGGCTTGTGCATGCCTATCAGATCCACTGTTTCGTCTATGATTTTAATCTATGATAAACAAATAAATATATCCTCCCTGGTCCATCTCTTATAAGTGCCTGATGCTGTCATTTAAGAAAAAAAAACGGAAAATTATTATTAATGCTATCACAAAAGCAATACCCTTACCAGTAAATAAATCTCTCCTTGATAATAGTAACTTAGTGCATTTATAACTCTCATTTAATCAAAACGTGATTTTCATTGACTCAACTTTTTTTTTTTGTTAACTCTCACTTGAGAATATTTTTTCCATTGATTTTTAGACAGAGTGGAAGGGAGGAGGAGACACAGAGAGAAACATCGATGTAAGAGAGACACAATGATAGGTTGCCTCCTGCATGCACCCTGACCCAAAGCCAGGGATCTAACCTGCAACCAAGGTACATGCTCTTGACTGGAATCGAACCCCTGACCCTTCAGTCCACAGGCTGATGCTCTAACCACTCAGAATACTGGCCAGAGCTCAACATTTATCTTTTAAATGCAAATTTAAAATACCCTTGGATGGCAAAACATGTTTATTTACTCTGTGCTAGGTACAAAATGAAACTTCATGATATAGTAGTTCCTGCCCTCTAAAAGTTCAAAGGCAAGTCAATTAATGATTGACTGCAGAACAGCCTAGTTGAGTGTGTATAAGGGAAAAAAAAAAGACCTTCCCAGATGACCACAGAGGGAACACATGGGTCTCATCACAGACCACTGTACAAGGAGCCAGAAGCCTCCAAAACTTGTTTTCATGGAATTCATCTGTAAAAACAAAACAAAACACAAAACCAAAAAGATGGGACAATATGAATACTGCTATATACTGTTGCTGGGAAAAGCATTTTTTCAATAATGTCCACTTCATATCACTTTGTACTAGGGACCATGGTAAGGGCTGAGATAGAGAAGGACAAGGCACATCTTGATACAGAGCTCATAGTCCGGGTAGGTGCCACACAAGGGCAGATATGCTATCACTCCAGAGGAGTTCCCTGTCCCTGTGAATGAATAATCTTTAGGCATGGTCAAGTGGTTAAAAAGAAAAATTATCCTAACCTGCATTTCAAAAGGTGAAACAAAAAGTTTTGTGTTTTTGTTTTATAGCCAATTAATGTTTTTGAAATTAGGTCAGTGATTCAGGCTCAGCAGAAATGCTGATGCCAGGCCCCACCCAAAGCTTACTGCTTCAGAACTACTGGGGGCTTGGCAATTCTCCAGTCAAGAACTATGTATGTATGTATGTATGTATTTTTGTTAATCCTCACCAGAGGATATTTTTTTCCATTGATTTTTAGAGAGAGAGGGAGAAAGGAAGGGAGGGAAGAAGAGAGAAGAACAAGAGAAACATCGATTGGTTGCCTCCAGGACCCAGTCAGATGGAATCTGTAATCCAAGTTTGTGTACCTTGGTGCAGAGGCCGGTACTCAAACCACTTAGTACACTGGCCAGGGCTAGCTATACTTTTTCTTACTGTCAATTATTAGGAAATATCCATTTGTAACAACAGCGCTTTTTCAACCTTTAAAATAAAGGGTTCTTGACTCTCTGGCCAATGTGGCTCAGTGACAAGTGTTGGTCCTCCCACTGAAGGGTTGAGTGTTTGATTCCCAGTCAAGGGCAAGGACCTGGATTGAGATTTGATCCCCACCCAGTTGGGACACATTTGGGAGACAACCAATCCATGTGTCTCTCTCACATTGATGTTTCTCATTCTCTGTGCCTCCCTTCCATGCTCTCTAAAAATCAATGAGGAAAAAATATCCTTGGGTGAGGGTTAACAACAAATATGTATAGTACTAGAGGCCTGGTGCACGAAATTCATGCACTGGGGGGGAGGGAGAGGGTGTGTGTCCCTCAGCCCGGCCTGCGCCCTTTCGTAGTCTGGGAGCCTTTGGGTAACGTCCGACTGAAGGCTTAGGCCTGCTCCCCATGCTGCCGCGACAGTCGGACATCCTTACCCAACTGTGAGCCCAGTTTCTGGCTAAGCAGCACTCCCCACTGTGGGAGCGCACTGACCACCAGAGGGCAGCTCCTGCATTGAGTATCTGCCCTCTGATGGTCAGGGCGCATCATAGCGACCAGTTGTTCTGAAAATTAGCCTTTTATTATATAGAATAATACAACTTGAATAATTTCTGTGATTTAGTATCCATCAAGTGTTACAAAGAGTTCTTATTTAAAGAGAGTTCTTATTAAAAAGATTTCTAGCAAAAACACAATAGAGCTAAATATGGCACTATGGCAGTGCCAACCTCAGCTGCAGAGGTTTGTTGCCTGCTGGTATTATTTGCTATCTGTGTTTACATGTGCATCTGTTTTCAGGAAAAGGAAAGCCACTCAAGTGGGTCAAGATTATTAATATTAAACAACTAACCTTTAACTGAGAATTTACTGAGTACTATTATAAACAGGGCACACTGATGCAGCATAGTTTATAGCATAAGCCTTAATGTCAAACCAGATCAGAGCCCTGGCTTCACTTACTACACTGGTAGCATCTGGGCATTGGAAATATACACCATCTTATAAACATTAATTATTGTTTAGTATTCATTTCAAAATCTAGTACAATTATAATATGTTTGCAATTAAAACCCCAAAATTCACCAATGGGTGAATTTTTACACTAAAAGCAATATTTAATATTATAAACTTAATTTTTGAAAAAGAACACAAAATTGCAAAGCAGTTCCTTGTTACAAGCATGGCCCATTACAATACTGTAACCTTAGGCCTATCACTTGACTTTCTGGTCCTTATCCTTCTCTCCTGTAAAATCTTCCTGCCACAAGAGGATTTGACCATATCATCTCTTGAGGCCCCTTCCAGCTTCAGGAATGTGTTACCATGAAATTACAAAATTTAATTGTTTTTCCCACTTACTTTCTTGCAAGGTGACAACAAGGAAGAAGGGAAAATCGATGTGTTTAAAGCATTTCCTATCAAATAGAAATATTATAAGATTAAGGACAAGCCCTAACCGGTTTGGCTCAGTGGATAGAGCGTCGGCCTGCGGACTGAGGGATCCCAGGTTCGATTCCAGTCAAGGGCATGTACCTTGGTTGCAGGCACATCACCAGTGGGAGGTGTGCAGGAGGCAGCTGGTCGATGTTTCTAACTCTCTATCCCTCTCCCTTCCTCTCTGTAAAAAAAATCAATAAAATATATTTTTTTAAAAAGATTAAGGACAAAATACTCAAAGTTGGGGTCAACCTGATAAAAGCCCAAATGGCTGCTTAAAAGATTAACCTATCCATCTTGGAGACAGTATTCATTCATAATAGACAAGAAACGTGGGAGAAAACAAATCAATCAGCAGAGGATCACTGGCCTACAAAGAATGATGACCGAGGAGTCCAGCCTAAACACTTCAGTGGTCTGCACCCACCAAAGCAAGTCAAAACCATAAATTAAGAGAAATATCTAAGGGATTCACAGGGTCAAGAGAAGCAATTCCTTTACCTATCTAACCTATTTTGCAAAGAGTTGCTTTATATATACTTCTTTTTTTCTTAATCCTCACCAGAAGATATGTTCACTGATTTACTTATTTTAGGGAGAGGGAAAAAGAAACATCCATTGGTTGCCCTCTGCACGTGCCCCGACCTCTCAGGTGCTTGGGAGGTCGCTGTCAGCATGAGCTACACCCACGGCCAGGGCTGCATATCCTTCTGTACCACCGTTTACAAGCTCCAAACCGTGAGGGGAAGAGCAGATTCAAGATGTGGGTCACACGGTCACTAAGAGACCCCAAATAATAGGTAGCGAAGGGTTTCAACACTTTATCTGACACTACCAGAAGCTGGTGCATCCTCGGACCTTTAAAACCTAAATAAAAAGTCGTATATGTGCAGTAGGGCCCAAACCCACGCAATAAACCACCCCCTTCTTCCGACCTACAGTCGCTCTGCGGTGCGACTGCTGCTTCCATCAGCTCGGCGGGAGGCCTCGGCGGAGGCGGTCACGGCCAGAATACAGTCTCCGCCTGGCCGGTAGGCTCGCAGCCCCCGCCCCGCTCCGTACCCCCGAGGGGCGTGCTTGCACCTGAATAACGGGGTCCCGCGTCCCCAGGTCTTTAAGACGAACAACCGGCCCTTTACCCTAAGCACAGTGGCGGCCGCGCCGTTTAAGTTCCATTTTCGTCTGACCGCAGTGTCGACCGAGTCCCGTCTCCAGGCCTCAGGATTAACAGTGCAGCCCCAAGCAT